AGAAGAAAGACTTTCATATATAATTCTATAAGCCATATGTTGAAAACCATATCTAGACGATGATAGCTGAAGAATTTTGAGAACTAAAGACATATCATAAAACATGCCGGCTTCCTTAATAAGCACACGTCAAGCTTTTGAACACATTATTTTGTTCATCTCTTAAATGCACAGTTGCATTAAAAAAAAAAAACAGTCTAATGTTGACAGTGCTTTTTCTAGAGATATGGTGAAAAATCAAAACCTCAAATTAAATATAGAAAGATCCCACAGCTATTACTAAGAGCCAAAACAAGACTAGATCTGTTTAAATGTAATACAAAGATTTATGGCATCATATATATTTGTCACACACCGCTATTAGGCAACATAGAATAAAAAATCCTGGTAAAATCTCTCAGTTAAAAAGCTTAATATTTGCTCAGGGGAAGGCACGTAAAATCTTAGTGAAAAATGCTGCTGGCTGACTGGTAACTGTGCACAGAACGTGCCCTGGCGGGGTTTTCCATTGGCTTCCGGCACTCCCAACCGTTCTTTGTTAATCTGCAAGACACTCGATAGGTATATTATAGGACAGTAACAATTTGCTAAAATGGACTTTAATGAAAACTGGCAAGTATTTGTTTTTAATTAGAGGCCAATATGTCCTGGACAACAGATGCCCAAATCTCTTCAGAGAGTGTCTGGGAAATAAATATTTCTTAATGTTATGATTGTTGTTATTTTTACTGCAAGTGGCATTTGGCTTCCTCTAAAGTACAGCCCGCTTTGTGGATGTTACTACATTTATCTTCACAGCATGGTAAACAGGTGTCAACTCTGATTATCCTGGTTTTGCAGATGGTTGAAAGAAACTCAGGAGTTCCGTGACTTGATCAAGGTCATAAAATGATTTGAAGCTGCAACTGCCACAGACCTACTCCGTTTCTTAGTAACTCTAGTTAAATAGGGCACAGCAGAAGAAAGAGAGTATTTTTTTAAAGGACTGCTTACCATGATCCTGGTTTACATATTATCATTTAATCTTGATAATGGTGCAGATGAGAAAATGAAGCTTTTAGAGGTACCCAATGTTTTTCAGGTTCATGGAGCAAATTCAAGGGTAGAGCCAGAGTGTGAATGCAGATGATTACCTATGACTCTTCTCACTGCATTTTGCAGGTTGTTCTTTACTACTATGACAGTTTGTCTCTGTTTCCCAAGATTACAGCATAGAAACAGCAATTTTGATTGAGCTACTTGGGTGTAAGAAGGTGAGGGAAGTAGGAGGTAATTGAATGTATCAATATCCAAATCTATCAGAATTTATTGCTTGCTTTCATCATTCTGAGTATTTTCCTTTAGCCTTCTTACTATTATATATCACAGCTAGTACTTTGAAGTTGACAGAGGATCTTGTCCCCCAACCCTGATTTAGCAGATGGGGAATCCGTAGAAATGTTCCTCTGAGGACCAAATATCTAGAAAGAAACTCCTCTATCTAGATTCCTTCTGCTCTTGCTGGAGGAGACTAGAAAGAAATGTCTGGCAAGGAGATATTGTGGACAAACTTACTACCCACTTCTCATGTCAGAGTTCCAGATTAACACCATCCATGGCTCTCTTTCATATTTTGTTTTTAATTTCACATGTTGGACTCGTAAGGCAATATGTATTGGAGCATAAGCAGATACCCTAGAAAGGTCCAAGATTACACAAATTGAGTTATAATATAAAACTTACAGGAATTAATCCTTATGCATTTGCTGCTCATTTTGTTCCAAACTTTTTCAAAGAAAGTATTTTTTTTAAGATTTTTATTTATGTATTTGACAGAGAGAGAGATCACAAGTAGGCAGAGAGGCAGGCAGAGAGAGAGGGGGAAGCAGGCTCCCTGCTGAGCAGAGAACCCGATACCAGGCTCCATCCCAGGACCCTGAGATCATAACCTGAGCAGAAGGCAAAAGCTTTAACCCACTGAGCCACCCAGGTGTTCCAATTATTATTGTTAATAATAATCATGTACAAAATCAAGTTTTGTGGTTGGAATGTGTGTGTGTGTGTGTGTGTGTGTGTGTATGTGTAATGACAAGGAAAATCCCTTCAGTTTCAAAAAGGTTTATTTGAGATATAAAGAAATAATAATGTCATCTAACATAAGCTCATACTGTCTGCCAAAAGGGGAAAACCGATAAATTACAATAACCCAAAACTGCTAAGTCTTGTTTCATACTAACACAGTGAACTGAAATTGATTCGTATCATTCTCTGATGTCAAAGAATATGAGGAAAAGAACACAAATCATTGTTGCCCAAAACATTTCATTATATTATATTCATTGCAAGGTCACTTTCTCATAATAAACACTAATCATTCTCTGGAAATTTCACCCATTTTAATCCCAACAGTAGGTGGATCACATCCAGCTATTCCATTGTTATTAGACCACGTTTAATATAGGAATGTTGATTAATGAAAATAACCCAACCAGGAAAATTGCTATTGCTCCTTTGAAATTGACTTACAAAAACTGAGAAGTTTTATTTGCTAACTTAGGGGACAGGGTTGGTCTAAATGTAATAGACACAGAAACAGAGTAAGAAAAAGAGACAGTGAGAGAGGGACAGAGAAAGAGACCAAAGATGCTTACTCATCTGGAACAGGATATATGTTTTAAAACATTTATTTATGGAAAAGAAAACTACTTGGGCAGATGCTTTATTTTATTTTTTTTAAGATTTTATTTATTTATTTGACAGACAGAGATCACAAGTAGGCAGAGAGGCAGGCAGAGAGAGAGAGAGAGGGAAGCAGGCTCCCCGCTGAGCAGAGAGCCCCATGTGGGGCTCCATCCCAGGACCCTGGGATCATGACCTGAGCTGAAGGCAGAGGCTTAACCCACTGAGCCACCCAGGCGCCCCATGGGCAGATGCTTTAAAAGAAAGCAAATATCCTGTTTAAAATTTGGAAATAAAAACAATTCTAAATAAGGATCACAGAAGCAAATGACAGATTTGAGAGGAATAGCATAATTTTTAGAGTCCAGAATATGAAAAACAAATTTTAAATGTAGTGCCTCTTCATAATTTGGTTGACTAGATCAGGGTTTATTGACTGGTTTTCCTGGTTCTAAAGAATGAGTCGATGAATAACTTTCAAAGCAATGGCTCCCTTCTAATGTTATTTCTGGTTTTATTTAAATCTTCATGAAAGTTATTTCAGAAAGAAATGGAAGGAAAATGGCAGTTAATTTTACTGCATTGGCAGGCATGGAAAAAGTTCAGATATTGTATATTTCAATATTAGTACTCATGTTTTTTTAACTTTTGCTTTTCCTTTTGAAATTACCTGCCAGTTTTCTTCTAAACTCCTTAAAGTGGTTATCATAATTGATTTAAAGCCATGGCTGTGCTTTCTGGTAACTAGGTGACCTGTTGGTCTGCTTCTACCATTTTCCTTTGAGTAAGGTTACATTTTCTATTTCATTCCATATCTGGTCCTTTTTAATTATATTCAGAACACTGTGTATTTTTAAAAAAATGCTGAAGACTAATGTATGGGTACTTCTCAAAAAATGCAAGGCCTTTCCTTTATCTGGCAGTTAGGATATGGGCTAATCTTTGTGATTTCTTCAGGAGTTGAGTTATTCTAGGCTGTGTTACAAGTGCAATACGAACGGTGATTATTCCAACCACCAACCAACCCACCATCCCAGGAGCTTGCTTCCTTCCTTCTTTTTTATTTATTTTTTCTTTTTTGCTTATGTTTTTACTTTGATAAAATATCAGAAAAAAAGAAAGTTGCAAGAAGACTATAAGGCACTGCTGTATACCTTTTAACCGGATTTACCAGGGGTTTATATTGGTTCCACTTGCGTCCTCTTTCTCCCTCCATCTGTCTGTCTGTCTGTCTGTCTTTCTTTCCTCCTCCCACTCCTGGATAATGTGTTTATATTTTTATATTTATTTTGTTTTCTATGAACATCTTCAGATCACTTCTTTTTTTCTAACAATTTGTGAGTAAGTAGAAGTCATTGTATCTTTTTAATCCTAAACATTGACTTGTGTATTTTCAAAGCAAAGATGACTTTCATGACCACAGTATGCTGCATTTATCATTGATTTAACATTGATTAAGCAATATTGTCTAGTCCGTAGTCTTTCATGACTATACTTTTTAAGTATAGTATATATACTTTATAGTGTATATATACACACACACACACACACATCTATATGGTATTTATATCAAGTATAAGTATAGTATATATACTTTTTCAGTATATAAAGTCCACAAGCCAATCCTATACCAAGCATTGTATGGCCATGTCTCCATAGTCTCCTGTAACCTGCAACACTTTGTCAGCCTTTTTGTGTTTTTCCTGACTTTGATGTTTTTAAAAATTAAAGAACAGTTGTTTTATAAAATTCTACGTAATTTAAGTTTATTTAATCATTTCTTGTGAGATGAGACTTAAGTAACAGCTTTTTTTTTGGCAGAAACATATTTTGAAAATACATGTTATCTTTTTCAATGAACCCTGTTAGGGGGCTTATGATGGCAATCCTCTCAATGTTAGTGCTTAACTTTGTTAAGGTGGTGTAGGTGGGCTTAGTTGTTTCACTATGACGTTACCATTCTTTCCTTGTGATTGTGTGAGTTGGAGTCTTCTGAAAAAGAGGATGGGATTAGATGTGCAAGGAGTTATTAGGGAAAACCATATTTGAGAAAACAAATGGAAAGAGTTAAAGAAGGCAGGGAGTGGCATCAGATCTGGATTGAAGGAGTGGGGAGGATGGAGCTCCGGCCACATTCTAGGCAGGAGACTCAGTTGCAAGAGAGTAAGAAATTTTCCTCTGAACCAATGGTGGGGATTTGGGAACCAAAGCTAGCCTTGAAGAGATCCAAGTCTTACAGGATGGGAGACTTTTATTGTGGGAGGCAGCCATGTGCACCATAGGATGTCTAGAAGCATCCTTGGCCTCTATCTGCTATACACCAGTAATAGCCTCCGAGTTGTGACAAAAGAAAATGTCTCTAGATTTCATCAACTGTCACATAGGCAGGGGATAAAATTGCCACTAATCGAAAACCATTGTTTCACACAAGTAGGTTTTCTACCCTCTGATGAAAGTTAGTATCTCTGAAGTCCCACCCTTGACAACATGAGATTTCCCCTAAAGTTATCTCTTCTTGCATGATGAGGTACAATTTGTGACCTATTACTAAAGACTTGCTTACACATCTTGTGCATGAAGCTTGTTTATAACAGATGTGTCCTCTGGTGTCTAGCAAGGAGCGATTTCAGCCTAAAGCCTTCCCCACACTTACTGCAAATATAGGGTTTTTCCCTTGAGTGTGTTCTCTGATGTGTGCTGAGAGTTGCCTTATCACTAAAGCCCCGCTCACACTCCTGGCACACAAAAGGCTTCTCTCCAGAATGTGTCCTGTGATGTCTTATGAGAGCTGACTTCTGGGTAAAGCCTCTCCCACACTCCCTACACACAAAGGGCTTCTCCCTTGAGTGGGCCATCTTATGCCTGATTAGATTTGCTTTCTGGCTAAAGGCTTGCCCACACTCAGGGCAGACATATGCCTTCTCCCCAGAGTGTGTCCTCTGATGACTGATGAGATGTGACTTCTGTCTAAAGCCTCGCCCACATTCCCCACACACAAAAGGCTTCTCTCCTGAGTGCGTCCTCTGATGTGCAACAAGAGTTGACTTATGTCTAAAGCCATGCCCACATTCTTGGCACACGTAAGGCTTCTCTCCAGAGTGAGTCCTTTGGTGTGTCATAAGAGCTGACTTAACACTAAACCCTCGACCACACTCTGCACACATATAGGGGTTCTCTCCTGAGTGTGTCCTCTGGTGTGTGGTAAGGTTTGACTTATCACTAAAGCCTCGTCCACACTCCTGACACACAAAAGGCTTCTCTCCTGAGTGTGTCCTCTTGTGTTTCATGAGGTACGATTTCTGACTAAAGCTCCGGCCACATTCAGGGCACAAATGTGAATTCTCCCCTGAATGAATTCTCTGATGTTTGTTGAGAGTTGATTTGTCTCTAAAAAGCCTCCCACAATCCCTACACACATAAGGCTTTTCCCATGAGTGGGTCCTTTGGTGGGTGATAAGGTTTGACTTATCCCGAAAGCCCCGCCCACACTCCTGGCACACAAAGGGTTTCTCCCCTGAGTGTGTCCTCAGGTGTCTGGTAAGAGTTGACTTCTGGCTAAAGCTTCGTCCACACTCCTCACACGTGAAAGGCCTCTCCCCAGAGTGGGCCATCTTGTGAGTGACTAGGTTAGACTTCTGGCTAAAGGCTTGCCCACATTCTGTGCAGATGTAAGGCTTCTCCCCTGTATGTGATCTCTCGTGTGTGATGAGAGCTGATTTATAGCTGAAGCTTCGACCACACTCACTGCAAAAATAAGGCTTTCCTCCTGAGTTGCTCCTCTGATGAACAAAGAGGGCTGATTTCTGGCTAAAGCCTAGCCCACAATTTCCACAATTCGCTACTTCAAATCCTGAGAAACCTACCCACTTTAATACTTTCTCTGTTTCTAAATGGTTTGCCTTCTCAGCTGAGCTGAGCTTTATTTCCATCACTGTCTTGCCTTCCCTCAAGCTTATCAGCTGTCCATCAGGTGGGCTGAAGAAAGCTCTGGAGGTGAACCTCCTCCTTGTCCTCTCCAGCAATGATGTGGAGCCTTCTTCTCTGTCATCGTCTTTCACTCTGTCGTTGCAGAAGCTTTCATAAGAGAGTGATTGCTGCTGCTGCTGTTTATGGTAGGCTGGGCAGAGAGTGCCTGCTAGCAAGCCTGGGCAGATTGGAAGGCAATGATCGTGTAGCCTGTGTTGGCGTTGCCAACTGCAGAAGTCCAGAGCAGAGGAGGAACCAAGTTGAATTTCTGGCTTTGCATCTGCTGAGCAGGAGCTGGGCTGAGCTTCACCCTCTTCTGTCCAGGGTCCCTCCCCCTGCTCTAGCAGAATGACAAGTGTTGGCTTGGGAAATGGGATTCCCAGGGAGACCAAGTTGCTATAGTTTTCCAGCATCACACACCTGTACAGCATCCTCTGAGTGTGGCTCAACAGCCACCACTCTTCCCGGGTGAAGTCCACAGCTACATCCTGGAAGGACACAATGGCTGCTTCTCTCCTGGCTGTTAGCCCCGAGGCCATTTTTCTGGTCACCTGAATGGTCTCCCAGAAGAAGGGTAAGGTCTTCTCTCTGCTCAGATTTGCAGTAGCTACCCCCAGGACAGAGTCTACATGTCTGATCCTGGATGCGGGGACTTGTCACTGAGAGGCTAAAGCCAGTGGGGACACAACTGCAATGTCTGTCCCACGGCAGGTATGACACTGTAAGGGATAACAGATTAGAGGCAGGCTCCTTATATCACACCTATCTTTCTTTAAGAAGTTTTATAATTTTAGCTTTTATGTTAAGGGTATGATCTATCTCAAATTCATTTCTGTTTGGTGTATAATAGAGATCGGGGTTTTTTTTCTTCCCATATGGAAAGGAAGTTTTCCCAACACTTCTTAAAGAGAGTTCTCTTTTCCCTTTAAAGTGCATTGAAGTTTTTGTTGAAACCATTGGGTTATATAAGTATGGGTCTCATTTTTGACTCTAGTCTGATCTCTGCTATGTTCTGCTAGCTTTTGATGATGTCCATACATGAGCTGGAAGATTTGGCTACACTTTCAGATAGGTTTGCTTAGTTACTCAATTTCACAAAGTTCTGGAATCCAGTCATTTAGAGAATGGCCAAGACTGGGTGACTTCTCTTTACCTACCAGGTCTTTATCCACTGTTTTTTGTTTGTTTGTTTGTTTGTTTGTTTTTCTCAAGGGTGGGGTGGGGAGAGAGAGAGGCATAATTGCCTGTCTGAGCTGAGGTTCCTCCAATCTACAGTCTCTTCCAACTAGCTCTTGGCATCCTCAGTCCTCCCATGGTACAACCTGGCAATGACCCCCAGAAAGAAGTAGCTACTGCTCTCTCTTCTTCTCTGAAGTGTTTGTTTCTCTATAAAATTCAGTTCAGTTAGCTTCTTCCAATCCTCCACTCTTCTCTACTTCATAGAAAAATGTGATTTTTATTTTTTTAATGTTTTTCTTGTTGTTACCATTGGAACAAATGTCTTTTTTTTTTTTTTTTTTTTTTTTAATAGTCTAACTGACAGCAGAAGTATTCCTGGTGGGGAAAAATAAAGGGAGAGAGATTAGAATTGTTTATGAGGAAAATAAAAAAAGAACTCACATTTTGAATCTTTTGTGCTACCAATTTTTTTTCCTCTTATCATAGTTATCATAAATTGGCTATGTTTTTGCCCTCAGCCATTGAAATTTAGTCATAAGCTTTACAGTTAATATTTAACTTTAATAACATTATTCTAGGATCAAATATCAAAGTTTTACCTTGCTTTTGTGATGGGAGATAAAATGGAATGATAGAGGTCCATATAACTATCCAAAGAACAGGAGTCACCTTCGTAATTTTTTCTCCTGTTATTTATATTTGGCTGCTGAATATGCTATCCAAAAAGGCCTTCTCAATGACCCTTGAGAAAGTTCTTTTCAGCAGACACTGAGGAGTAAAACAAGTCAGAAGTTTGTTCATTATTTCACAATGAAAAAGCAGCAAGATATGTATCATTTAAATAAGAAAGAGAATGATGACTATGACATTAAGAAGTGCAGAAATGAGATGATTTTTTTAAAGTAAGTTAGAGAAATCATCCCTGTTGGTTACAGTGACCCAGTGAGGCTTAAAGTGAGGACGCAAGAAGCTGATAATAGGAACATTTATTTGGGCCTGGCATTGGCTATTGATTCACAAGTAAGCCTGGGTCTTGGATTCTAGCTAGGAGCATTTGGACAAGTCCAGTTAAACACAGCTTCACTAGATGTGCAGACTGTTTGAAACTGTTTTTGTTTTATTAAAGACAGCATTCACCGTGGTGCTCCTACAGTCTTTCAAGGCATATAAGAGAAGTGACTAGACAATATGAAGGAAGAAAAGAGTCTCCTTGTGTGCTTTCCCTGTTGTTCGCTTACTTTCCCATGTTAACCCTCCCCTAGCAATGTTTCAGCATTCAGACTACACAGGAGGGGTTATCTGAGCGCCAGCACTCTTCACACCGTTCACACAGAAGGGCATGATGATAATCATGGTGATAATAATAATGGGTAATAATAAGAATGGTAATAATAAATGAGACTTCTTTATGTTTCATGTAGAGGCCAGCTTGTAGGCACAAATACAAGCAAAGATCATTCAAGAATCGAAATGCTCACTGTAGAATTCTCTATGGGTAATATGAAAAGATAAAATGCTTATTCTCAGCATTTGAGCCTCAGAATTGAGGCCCACAGCAAGATGATTCTCAAAATATCAGTGTAACTCAAGCTGCCAGTAGGAAGAGGGAAATAAAGAGAATTCTTTGATCCAATAAACTTGAAAATCATTTGGTTGATCCATTTATACATGTTTCTTAATTAAAAATCTTCTCCAATACTTCAATATGTCTAAATTCAATCTCAGGCACCAAGATAAAGACATGGGATGTAGTGTTTCTGAAACATATTTGATGAAGAAATTTCTTTCCCAAAAGTATCTTCTGAGACAACTATTCTAAAAAACATGCTTAAAAAAAAAACACAAGAAGTCCAAAAGGAATGCTTTATTTCATTCATAGCTCTTTGAAAACTTTTATGGAAATTGAATCATTTATTTTATAGGAAGAAACCAGAGGAACTCAAGATATATGGAGAAAAGTATATAGTATAACATTCATAAAAGATTGGTCTTTGTCCTTGGTTAATGCTCAAGGAAATTAAATCATTAAACAACTGCCCTTTCCTCCCATATTTTCTAAGTGCAACATGCTTCATATCCTCATCAGGAGGTTTTGAGATAGTGTTGTGTTGTGAGTGTCATTGATGTAGATGTGTGTACATGCGTGTGTGTTGTGCATTTTAGAACATCTGATGAAACTAAACAGTGAGTTCCATAAGAGAAAAGACCAGCTGTTATCATTTTTGTTTTCCAAAACTAAACTGTGTCTATAAAACAAATAGAAGCTTTGAAGTAAACCATTTCATGTAATTAAACCACTTCATCTAGGTCCTTTTCAAATTGGTATCTTTTGAAGTCTACAGTTTGCAAGATCATTTTCCTATGATATATAACAATAAATATTTATTAAGTGTATAATATGGTCAGGTGATATAGGCTACATGCTAAGGATTCTTCTATTTCCACTGCCCATTTATCAAGGAGCTAAAAATATTAGAGGACAGTTTAATTCATAATATGGAGGTAGTTTGAGCTTAATAACTTTAATTAAGAGACCTAAACAGCTGTGAACCGAAGGCAGAGGCTTTAACCCACTGAGCCACCCAGGTGCCCCTAAACAGCTGTGAAGAAGATACTACTGCAATAGCATTTAGGTTACTAGAGGGCTCTCTGCTTGATCAAGAGAAGTTAAGGTATTCATACACCCTTAACCACCTGGAAAGTAACAATCAGAAGTATAATTAGAGAATGGATAGAGACTAGTGCTTTTCTTTCCAGGTGAATAATAAAAAATGAATGTCAATTTCAGCATAAGGCTTAGGGATTAACTATAAAGAGCAACTTATAAATATCTCAGGTAGTAGAGGATCTCTGAATGTCATACCAAAATTTCAGCCAGGGGACTGCAGTGGTCAGTGGTGGGGGCATGAATAAAGGTAAAACCATGAGGGAAATGAGGGTAGGAATGGAAGTAGATTAAGTTAGATCAAATGGCAACAGAGTAAAAGTGAGAGAAGCTAAAAGAGTGAAATAAGGGTTCATATTCTCATAATAGCATTGGCAAAAGAATGATGTTAATAATATTTAAGAATGAGTCATAGCTATCTTGGACAATGATCTTGGCAATGGCAGTACACAGTGCCTTCTGTGAAAAATCCATCATTCTAAGTTTTCTATAAAAATAATAATGTGTCTATGTGTGTGTATGTGTGTGTGTGTGTATTTAAAATATGAGGTAAATGTTCTCATGTTCCTCATCTGAGGAATGAGGCACTGGTTAAGTGATTTTTCAAAGTATTAGAGTAAAAGACAGAACCAGCATGAGACAGAAGTTAAACTCATTGTTAAGGCACGGGTAAAGACAAAGGAGAAATGCAAATGGAATGGACAAAGTTCCCTCCAATTTCCATCAAGTCACAATAAACTATTCTCAACATGGAAGTGTCTAACATAGTAAATTCTATAAATATAGGAAATATTGGGGACAATTGTTAACCACTTCAAATATGTATACTTAAAACTGCTATATGGAAATAAAAAGAGCTAAGGATTCAAACAGCAATCTAGTTTTGGCATCTGAGCCCTTATCAGTATGATCTACTATCTCTCTGGACATAAACCCTCTAATATGGGTCCAGACAACTTTATAAGAAGAAACCGAGCCATAAGCAGAGCAGAGAACAAGGGAACACAGTAAGCCATTTCCTATAAAACAAACAAACAAAAAACACTAAGAAATAACAACTTGTTTATGTGCTTGTTTTAATTTTGAACTGATATAGTATTAGTCCTATATCTGTAGGAATAAGTAGTCAGTCACAGTCAGTGTCTTTTAAGGACGTGTGCTTAACTATTATTTTGCCAAGTATAAAGAAAGGCCAATGATCAAGGATAGAAGACAGCCAAGAGTTGGCCACAGAAGATTCCATGAAAGCACACCCAGCGCTATCTTTCATGCCATTACTGCCTTTTGCTTCCTTGGTCAAATCCAAGAAATAGTTGCATATGGTTAGGTTTCCCAGATGTTCTCATCTGTTCACCACATGTCAGCTGTAAATCCAAGGATTTGGACTGGTTTCATATATTCTTTTTTAACTTCCTTATAATTAAAGAATTAGATGGTCTTTATATTATCATCTTGCCAATTCACTAGTAAATAAATAAAAAAGGACATTTAAATATATATCTGTACTGTAACAGCAGAGTCAGAACTAGAATAGTGAACTCATAGATTATCTGTTACCTGAGGAAGGAAACACATTTTTGCTAGAACTATGTTATGTATATTATTCTTACATGTGATATGGAACACAGTATCAAGAAAGAGAGAGAGACAGTCCCAACCATATACACTAAATTTCTGTACCCTTAACAAAGTTTTAGAGGAAGGCCTAAGGAAACCAATGTGTATTGGGCTCTCATTATTTATAAGGGTGT